TTCTTTATGCTTGGTGGCCTTGTACATGGCTAAAAAGAGAAGATTCTATTACAAAGAAAAGGAGAATGGGCGGGGCCAGCCCCACGGCCTAGTGGTTAAATTTGGCACACTCTGCTTTGTTGGCCCGGGTTCAGCTTGGTCGTGAACCTACACCACTTGTCAGTCGCCGTGCTGTGATGACGACCCACATACAAAACAGAGGAAGACTGGCACAGATATTACCTCAAGCCGAATCTTCCTCAGCAAAAAAAAAAAAAAAAAGGACAAAAGGAGAATAGATATTGGGGGAGGGCACTGCCAGATTTGTCTACACTGCAGCTCCACAATCTCCTCCAACTTGACTTGGCTGAAATGGAAGTATCATCTCGCCCCAACATTTCCTTTTCCCTTAGACTCTTGGTCCTTTTCTGTACCCCCACACCCTACCAGAGGGGCAATTCTGTGGGGCAGGGGCTGGCAAGGGGAGATGTCACCCAAGCTAAGTGAACGGGTGAGCAGAGAGAGAATTGTGCAATGAAGCTGACCTCCTGGTGGTCCAGAATAGAAACCGAAGACCCCAAACAGAAGATGCCCAAGTGGAGCAAGTGGGGTTGAAGGTGTCTGCTGGGGTAGGACACAAGCGTAGGTCTGTATTTGAAAGCACCAGTGACAAACACGCCCAGCCCCTCACCCAGCTGGCTGCCGAGCCTGTAGGTTCCATTCTGCCTCCTGCTCACTCCACCCTCCGCGGCTTTGTCTGCACTGTTTCCTCCTCCGGGAATGCCCTTCCTGCTTCTCCACTGAGAGAGTGGATAACTCTCTCAGTCATCCTTCAGGGTTCAGATGAACCTCCTCCGGGAAGGCTTTCCGATGTCCCTGCTGGGAACTCTAATAACATCCCCCTGGAGAAGGGGCTGCAAGTGGGGCGGCGTTGGTGCAGAGTTCCGGGAGATGGGCCAGTTCTGGTGCTCTGGGTGTCATTTGGGGCAGGGTACTGCGGAGGTTCAGCAGGAAAGTGGGACCCCAGGGCTTTCTTTTTATGAAGAAGGAGGTGCCAGCTGCCCATGCGACAGTGGAGGCGGGGCACCACCAAGGCTGAGCCTTGAATTCCCGGCCACGGGCTGAGCCTCCCGTACTCCCATCTCCAGTGAGGAAAATGATGCAGCCCGAGGCTCTGGGCCATGGAAAGGAAGTCCAGCTGGGCAGGGGCAGGCAGAGTAATTCCTGGAAGGAAGCTTGCACCTCAGGAATCCGTTAAAGGAACACTTTAGAGGCCTCTGTCCCAGGAGCCACCCATTGCCCATCCCCAGGAAGGAGCAGGCAGGGCTGGAAAACCATGCAGAGGGGGCGCCTCTGGGTGCCCAGAGATCATTGTCCCTTCACCAGCCTCCTGTAACATGTGGCACAAGCAACAGCACAGGCTCTGAGGCAGCTGTGGGTCTGAATCGGGTGATGCCTTGTCCTCGCTAAGACACAGCTTTCTCCTCTGTAGAATGAAGATGAAGAGTCCTCCCCGGAGGGTGTTGTGGCAGCAAAGTGACAGGGTAAGGTACCCAGCTAGGCACCAGCACACTACGAGCTGCAGTCACCAGGATCTACTGTTCTACTGCCCACCCTTCTCTCCCTCCCGAGACAGGCTGTGGGCACAGACCTGTCTTCCCCTGGGTGTGTGCGTGCATGCATGTGTGCGTGCGTGCGTGTGTGCGTGCGTGCATGTGTGCGTGTCGGCCCCAAGCTCTGGGGTGGAACAGGCAGCCAGGCCTGGGCAGGAGGGAGGAGACTGAGAAGTTCTCTCCACAGCTCCTCAGCACACATGGGCTTAGATGAAGGGATGACATGGCCTAAAGACAAACATCACCCTCTGCCCTAAAACTGCCTGTCAGGCACCAGGAAAGAGGAGCCTTCCAAACCCAAAGAATCTTCCTGAAAGCCCCACCTAGTAGTGACCAGGGCCGGGGGATCTCCAAGCAGACACAGCACCCACAACAGGGTCCGAGGGGCCAGTTTCTCTCCAAGGGCCTGAAGGAGGGAAGGATGTTGCTGAGCAGGTGAGGGCTGGAAGCTGGCCCAGGTGGAACGAAGGATCGGAAGCACAGAAGGTAAGTTGTGCTTGAGGGGCAGGAGACGGGGTTGGAGGTTAGGGCTGGGAGGGGGAGCTGGAGAGGTGCACGCCTTCCATCACTTGGATCTTTGTCTGTAGGTAATGGGGAGCCATGGAGAGTGTAGGAGTGGTGAGGCAATGGGACCAGATTTGCCCTTTTGAAAGTCTCCTCCAGTAGCACGACAGAGATGGATTGGAGGGGCAGGGCTGGGAGCCAGGGCATCCACAAGACAAGGAGATCCCCAGCAAAGGCCAGAGGAGGGAAGTCTGGCCTGGAGAGAGGCTGTTCCTGGGAGGACACCCTCAGAGACTGATCCTTCCTCGAGCTTCCCCCACCCAGGGAGAAGCAGGAAGCCGGCGAGGTCAGTGGGTGGGCCCACAATGGCAGTGGAGGGGAGAGGAGGGAGGTGCAAGGGCACAGAGAGGACAGTAAGGGGCAGGGCTCTGCAGGACCCTCATCCACACCCACCTGGGCCCAAACCTGATGGCAGCTGAATGGAACTTCCTCTGACACAGAACGAGGATTCACTGGGATTGTTTGCTGTCTTTCTTTTCCGTCAGACTGGAAGCTGCCCAAGGGTGGGGCCTGTGACTCCAAGTCAGACTGTGGGGGCCTGAAGTGGAGGGAACAGAAGGCTGCAAAGCAGGAAGGTGCCAAGGGCTGGGGACCCCCCCAACGAGTCCTCACTCTTACTCAGAGCCTGTCGCCGTGGCCCTCAGAGACGAGCCAATTTGTGGAGCTGAAGATGGGAATGGAGGAAAACCAGGAGTGGAAGGGAAAAAGAAAGGCAAGAGGCAGGTTGTGTTCAAGGGGCCAGACCCTTCACCCCTTCCTCATATACCATGTACAGCCTCACTTCCACCCTCCCAGGCTTTGCTCAGCCTCTGGAATGAGAAGAAGGCCTGCCTGCCCCCCATCACACACCTGTCACACACTCACAGACAGACAAACACACTCACACACAAAGACACAAGACACAAGGCACCCATATGTAATACACACAGACTCACAGACATGCGTAGACACATAGACACAGTCACACAGACATCCCAAGAGACACACACACACGAACAGAGACACATATACACAGTCATAGACACACAAAGACACACTCATACACACAGACACACCAACAGACACACACTCATACAGACACACATTTGGAGCAGCCAGTAGAGGCTGCTGATTGGACACCTTGCTGGCTTACTGGCCAGGTACTGACATCCAAAACTGCCTGCTACAGCACACCCCCACCTGGCCCCATTGCAGGAGCCCCCTAGGGCAGTAGTCTTGACAATAAGGGCAAGAAGCCTAGCAGAGGTGACACTTTAGCTGGGAGCCTTTTAGACAGGGAGAGAGAATGAGGGAAAGTATTCTAGGGAGGGAAAACGGCTCCTGCAAAGGTTTGGGGTGCAAAGGCAACTGCAGTGCTCAGAGAACTGTGGGGGCCTTGTCTGCAGAGGGGGTGGGGGAGCAGACTGGAGGCCAGCCCCCCTAGCCTACAGAGACTTGGCTGAGAAGCAGCCCTTGGCCCCCATTCCATCTGTCCCAACCTGAGCCTCTGTGGGGGCACACTGGGCAGAGGGGAAGGCGGTGGGCCCAGGCCTTGCCAGAATCTGGTGTGTGGATGGGGCGCAGGGTCTCGGTGAGTCAGCTGCCTTAGAGGGGCCCAGCAGAACCGAGTCTCTACCTTTCTGGAGGCCACATCCCAGCATCCCCGAGAGGGCCTGGGTTAGGACAGGAAGAAGGCTGTGAGCCCCACAGGACAGCGGCTGGGTGCTCTTTGCCGAGGCCGGATGACTTCTGAGTGATCAGCCCTTGCCAGGACTGGGGCCCCAGCCTGTGAGAACACTTCCCTCACTGCCCCAAACTTCAGCAAGGACAGAACTAGGCCCCATCCTGGGACCCAAGGGCCCGCCTTCACCCTCAATTCAGCCTCTGCTGTCTGACCACTGGAGACCAGGCAAGGGAAACTTCACAGGGGTGGTTTGGGGCAGGGACTGGAGGAGTCTGGAGAGGGGTCTGTGAGGGGTCTGAGAGAGGGGACTGTGAGGGCTCTGAGGGAGGAGACTGTGAGGGTCTGGGGCAGGGGACTGGAGGGGTCTGGGGCAGGGACTGGAGGGGTGTGGGGGAGGGACTGGAGGGGTCTGGCGGAGGGACTGGAGAAGTCTGGCAGAGGGACCTGAGGGGTCTGGGGCAGGGACTGGAGGGGTCTGGAGCAGGGGACTGGAGGGGTGTGGGGGAGGGACTGGAGGGGTCTGGGGCAGGGGACTGGAGGGGTCTGAGGCGGGGGACTGGAAGGGTCTGAGGCAGGGACTGGAGGGGTCTGGGGCAGGGACTGTAAAGGGTCTGGGGCAGGGGACTGGAGGGGTCTGGGGCAGATTTCTCCCTCCCCAGCAGCTAGGCTCTCACAGATGGGCTGGCCTAGGCTCAGGCCCGAGGTGGGCCTGTTGCTGCGGGCGGGGGAGCCCTCCACAGCTGGCCGGCAGGAGGCCGACGTGGGGTCTGGAATTCCTCTTCCCCTCCCTGCACCTCCCCTCCCACCCTTCTCCCCCCACCCCTCCCCACCCCCTGGGCTGCTCGCGGAGCGGGGGAGGCGCAGCGGCGGGGCCGCCGGGCGGAGAGGAGCAGGAGGGGCGCAGGGAGGGGCCGTGGACGCGGGGTCAGGGTGGGCCCCTCG